GCACTTAGTTTATCGGCCTGCTCTGTTGGCATAGCGAGTAGAGCATCCCCAACTAAGAAATGGCCTGGAGTAAGGACCATCAAATCTTCCGGGTCATTGCTTAGCGGGCACAACGGACGAGAGTTTAAGCACGCTTCAATTTGAGCTAATACAGTGGCCAATTCCTCGTATGTAAGCGTACGATCACCAACTGTCCTTTTTAGGTGGTGTTTCATTGACTTAACACCCGCCTCCCATAGACCTCCAAAATGTGGAGCGGAGGGAGGGTTAAAATGCCACGTAATCCCGTCATCTGTGAGTTTACCCAGAATCGTTTTTTCGATGTACAACTTGTATGCCAACTTGTCTGCCTGCAGCTTCCGATTTGCCCCGACGAAATTTGTGCCACAGTCGCTATAAATATGAACACATTTTCCACGTCGGCCGATGAATCGGTGAAGTGCTCCAAGAAATGCGTCCGATGTCAAATCCCCCACTGGTTCTAGGTGGATAGCTTTTGTTACAAGACATACAAAAACAGCTATATAGCCTTTAACCGAAGTCCGTCCTCTTCCTTTAGATGGCGAAATGTTGAACGGTCCTGCGTAGTCAATCCCAACTGACGTAAAAGCCTTCTGTGGCCGAATCCTGGCCGGTGGCAGATTACCCATCTTTTGGCTTGTAATACTAGGGTTAAATTTATAGCAAACAATACATTTATGGATTTCTCTTCGTACGGCGTTACGTCCGTTGATGATCCAACATTTTTTCCTGATATGATTGAGTGTAAGGGCCGCACCTCCATGTAAGGTACTGACATGGCTATAACGAATGACCAAGCTTGTAAATGAATGCTGATAAGGTAGAATGTATGGGTGTTTTTCCGCCATCGGAGGCAGTGCGTCTCTCAAGCGTCCTCCAAGTCGAATGATTTTTTCCGATTCATCAAAATATGGATTGAGTGGTAATAGCGGACTTTGCTTATGTAACATTTTCCCTTCCGATAATAGTTTCCAATCGCCTGCAAAGCCTTCCATTTGGCACATACGAACTGCACACAAAAACCCTTCAGAAAGTTCTCTTATCGTGAGAGAATCTACTATTCGAGCAGATTTCGATATCCTGCAATTCCTTATAAATCTATGAATATAGGCCAGCATGCGAATGAGAAATGTGTACTATGAAAACCTTCCTAGTATATCGGATCCGTTCTCTTTCTCCACAGAAATAGCGTTGCAGTGCATCTGCTTCTGTTCGCTGGTGACTCGCATATCGGTTCCAGAATCTAGTTTTGTCGATGGCCACTCACAATCTTTAAATCTCAGCCACGGCGGTCCATTCCACCATAATTGGCACGATGCTAATTTAGTAACACTGATACCCCGACTTAGAAGATCGGCAGGATTATCCTCAGATGCTATATGTCGTCATTGTTTCCTATCGCATAGCTCCAAAATTTTGCTTATGCGGTTGGCAACGAAAACCTTCCACCTCGCAGCATCTCCTTGGATCCAGCTCAAAACGATCATCGAATCTGACCAAAAAACAGTCTCTGCAAAATCAATATGAATAGTTAAGTGATCCTTTAAATACTTAAATATTTTCGCAGCAATGACTGCTGCACACAATTCCGCTCTTGGAATTGTAAGCTGCGGCTTGATAGGCGTTCTCTCCTATCGGAATTCGTAAGAAAGCCGCCGCACCGTACGCGTATCCTGACGCGTCGCAGAACATGTGTAACTGTGGAGTTCCCTTTGACATTCCCCAAGCAATGTAGCGCGGTATATGAATCTTAGACAAGTTTGGTAGCTCTTGAATGAATTTCTGCCATTCTTTTTGAAGTTCCAATGGTACGTGGTCGTCCCAACTAAGTTTTGTCTTCCACAGAGCTTGCACCATTCTCTTTCCAACAACGGTGATTGGGCTCAACCATCCCATTGGGTCGAATAACCTCGCAATCGTCGAAAGCATCTTTCTCTTCGTTGGTGTACCTGTTGGGAGATCAAAATTAATTTGAAATCGAAACTCATCTTCATTGGGTTTCCAATATAATCCTAACGCTCTAATCGTCTCGTCACCTTGAAAGTTTAGAGGCTCTTTGGTTTCCCGATGTTCTAGAGGTATTCCTTCCAACAGTTGAGGACAGTTGCTGGCCCATTTTCGCAACTCAAAAGATCCCCTTCTCATCATTCCTCTAACTTGAGCTTGCAGTTCCTTTGCATCGGAAATACTATTTGCTCCAGATAAAACGTTGTCCACATACATCTGACGTTTAAGTACATTGGCTGCCAGCGGGTAGTTATGCTCTTCATCTTCGGCTAACTGCTCCATAAGTCTAATGGCCAGATACGGAGCACAGCTCGTGCCAAACATGACCGTGCAGCAGGCATATTCCTCTACCTGGACAGTGTTGTCCGTTTTCCACAAAATTCTTTGAAAAATTCTTCTTATGTATATTAATACATCTATACATTTTTTCCACGTCCGCAAGGAATGCAAATCTTATTACTCTCCAGTTGATCAGTATTGCTGGAAGCTCCATGTGCAATTTGGGCCCTATTGCTAAGATTTCATTCAACGATTTCCCATTGCTCGTCTTCATCGATCCGTCAAAGACGACGCGCACCTTGGTAGTCGTTGACGATTCCTTGATTACTGGGTGGTGAGGTAAATAACAATGTGTGGCTCCCCCCGGGTAGCCTGTTTCTTCCGTTTGCCCAACTTGTGTAACAACCTTTTCCATTTGTCCCAACTCCAAGTATTCCTTTATGGTTTTGGAGTACACCTCCTTCAGGTTGGCATCGTTGCGTAAACGCTTGTCCAAATGGCACAACCGTTTCAAAGCATCTTGACGCGACGACCCAATGACTAACTGGGGATCCAAAGTGGATAGAAATGGCAACCGCACTTGATATTTCCCTGAAGGTAACCGCACATGTGTATTAACAAAATGTTCCTCACACCACAAATCTTCCTTCGACAAAACTTCTGCTGCCTCCTTCTAATTCCGCAGATGATTCGTCCTTGATTACGGTCACCGTATGCACCGAGACCTTTGTGATGGGTTCCTTAACTTTTCCTGATATAATAAATCCAAGTCGTGTGCTTTGAGCAATAGGCCAGCCATCCGGTCCACGATGTATTTCACTTAGCATCAATTCATCATAGATATCACTCCCCAACAATATGTCCACACCTTGTGGAACAAAATAATTAGGATCAGCCAGGCAAAACTGTTCAAATTGAGACCATTTTTCCACAGATAAGATTACCTTTGGTAACACATACGCAGTCACACTATACCTTGCCTGTGTCTCAAACCTTGATCCAAAACATAAAAGAACGGAAGAAGACGCTTCGGTAACTTGGGCGTTGGCCAGTCCATTAACCTTAATGTATGCCTTTTGACGAGTTAGTCCCAACTTCTGAACTACGTTTTCCGATACAAACGAAGCTTACGATCCTTGGTCAAGAAATGCTCGGGACTGTAGTGTAAACCCTTCTGCTGACTGCACTTCATAACTAGTCCCAGTTGTACTCGAAGTCCCGCTAATTGCGTTGGAAGTAACTTGTTGCACCTGCTCATTTGGCTCTTTAGTTAGCCGAACCCGATCCAAATGTATGAGCGTGTGATGCCGATCTGCGCATATCGAACAATTGTTTTTAAGTTTGCACCTTCGTGAGTTATGGTTATTCCCCAAACAGTTGCAGCACAAACTTTGCTTCATAACAGCTTCCCTCCGTGCTGTTAGATGCATGCTTTCGAAAACCTTGCAATCTTGGACGGAATGACCGTTCTTGCAACATATGGCACATTTCTGCTCCGATCGGAAGCTACTGGATTCGCTAAACAGACGTTTCCATATCCCAGAATACCTGATGCGGCTAATAGACAGCTATCTACAGAATCGAATACTAATTTGCGGATGACATAGTCGCAGTGATTCCAGTACGAAATACTGAGTACGCCCAACGAATACTAAATCAAGTAAATGATTCGTGTAAACGAATGGATGGACTCTCGTGGCTTACAGCTGGCCTCTGACGAAACTGAGCTATTGCGAGTCACCAGAAAGCAGATTCCACTGGAAATAGAATTGAGGCTCACCGAGACAACTATTCTGACACAGAAGTCAATAAAGAACCTTGGGGTCAGGCTGGACTCAAAACTGAACTTTGGACCTTACATTAATAACGCTAGAACCAAGGCTGCAGAAACAACAAGGTCTCTTAGTAGACTTATGGCAAACATCGGTGGACCAATACCATCCAGACGAAAGCTGTTAATGAATACAAACAACTCCATTCTTCTGTATGGATGTAAAGTGTCGGCTGAATCGCTAAAAACAAATTGCAAACTGAGACCATCAATATCTGGCAAGAAAGATGGGAACGCGAAGGCACTGGAAAAATCGGTCCTTGATGAAAGAGTATCTAAAGGGCAGGCTGGACGCATAGCATCATACAGGCTCTGGGGATCCCCTCTCCTGTGGTATATATTGGCATTTATGTAGAGACGAGCCTTAGAGCTTTGTATGAGTAGATGAACGCGCACAGCGCGCAAGAGGCCCCACTGTAAAAAAATGCAAAAGCTTTTCCGAAGGCCTGTTGAGGAAGGATTTTTCAGTGTGGCCAATATTTCGAGAGCTCATCAGAATTAAGCCTGCTACGGTATCGTATTTGCGGGAAAGAGCCTTTAAAATATATTATCAATTACCTTGGCAAGACAAGTCTGTCGCTGTACAAAGAAATTAAAAAACAATAAAATTTAAATTTAACAGTTGTTTTTTTTTTAATTTACTGATAATTATTTGCTAATTTAAAGTTCATAACTGCACTTTTATTGTGTTTTTTCGTACATTTTTGACGTAAGAAACGTGTGTTGGCTATGGCTGCGTACCGACTGAGCCCCAATCTTCAGCAAAATATGATGCGGCGCACAGAGTGATTATCCACCTGTGGCGGCGTTGGAAGTTCCTCGGAGTGGCGGTCTGTTTCCCAAGGTCCCAAATAAGAAGTCGAAAGGTTTCAAAAATGTGCGTTCGATTTAATTAGGTTATATAATTAAACATAAAAGAGAAGAGCACAGAGGGTGCTTCTGACTATATTGACTGTCGCTCGCAGATTAACTTGTCGGTTTTACATTTCATTTTCACCGAAGCTCTCCAAATTATGTATGTACATATGAACAAATTAGCTGTGATATGGTTCGATCTTTCGAACAAGACTACGAATAAAAGGCAAAGAAGAATGTCTGTAACTAGAGAGCTTACAGTGTGACGTCAGTTACACTGCAAGTTCTCGTGTTGACAATATACAGTCCAAACATTCTCCCCCCTAATGATATTATTAAAATATTATTAACTGCTTCTTCAACGTCTTCGGTTGGTTGGAGGTTGGACGCTAAAAAGATAATGCAACTTAGAATTGTTGTGGAGGGTCAAGATCACGATTTAACCAATTATCTTGTATGGGTAATGGGCACAATTTTGCTACTGGCCGTTTAATAATACCACTCTGAGACTGGAGTTTAACCACTCGAACCAAACCGTCTTGGCCGCAATGAGTTTCAGTAATTCGACCAAGAGCCCATAGATTAGACGGCAAACGTTCATCTTTAATGAGTACTAGATCTCCAGCCTGCAAGTTACGCCTATTTTCCAACCACTTCGTTCTCCGCTGCAAGCGTGATAGATAATCCGAGGACCAACGCTTCCAAAATTGCTGAACCAAGTGCTGACAGTTCCTCCATCTCTCGGTGGCACTTAGTTTATCGGCCTGCTCTGTTGGCATAGCGAGTAGAGCATCCCCAACTAAGAAATGGCCTGGAGTAAGGACCATCAAATCTTCCGGGTCATTGCTTAGCGGGCACAACGGACGAGAGTTTAAGCACGCTTCAATTTGAGCTAATACAGTGGCCAATTCCTCGTATGTAAGCGTACGATCACCAACTGTCCTTTTTAGGTGGTGTTTCATTGACTTAACACCCGCCTCCCATAGACCTCCAAAATGTGGAGCGGAGGGAGGGTTAAAATGCCACGTAATCCCGTCATCTGTGAGTTTACCCAGAATCGTTTTTTCGATGTACAACTTGTATGCCAACTTGTCTGCCTGCAGCTTCCGATTTGCCCCGACGAAATTTGTGCCACAGTCGCTATAAATATGAACACATTTTCCACGTCGGCCGATGAATCGGTGAAGTGCTCCAAGAAATGCGTCCGATGTCAAATCCCCCACTGGTTCTAGGTGGATAGCTTTTGTTACAAGACATACAAAAACAGCGATATAGCCTTTAACCGAAGTCCGTCCTCTTCCTTTAGATGGCGAAATGTTGAACGGTCCTGCGTAGTCAATCCCAACTGACGTAAAAGCCTTCTGTGGCCGAATCCTGGCCGGTGGCAGATTACCCATCTTTTGGCTTGTAATACTAGGGTTAAATTTATAGCAAACAATACATTTATGGATTTCTCTTCGTACGGCGTTACGTCCGTTGATGATCCAACATTTTTTCCTGATATGATTGAGTGTAAGGGCCGCACCTCCATGTAAGGTACTGACATGGCTATAACGAATGACCAAGCTTGTAAATGAATGCTGATAAGGTAGAATGTATGGGTGTTTTTCCGCCATCGGAGGCAGTGCGTCTCTCAAGCGTCCTCCAAGTCGAATGATTTTTTCCGATTCATCAAAATATGGATTGAGTGGTAATAGCGGACTTTGCTTATGTAACATTTTCCCTTCCGATAATAGTTTCCAATCGCCTGCAAAGCCTTCCATTTGGCACATACGAACTGCACACAAAAACCCTTCAGAAAGTTCTCTTATCGTGAGAGAATCTACTATTCGAGCAGATTTCGATATCCTGCAATTCCTTATAAATCTATGAATATAGGCCAGCATGCGAATGAGAAATGTGTACTATGAAAACCTTCCTAGTATATCGGATCCGTTCTCTTTCTCCACAGAAATAGCGTTGCAGTGCATCTGCTTCTGTTCGCTGGTGACTCGCATATCGGTTCCAGAATCTAGTTTTGTCGATGGCCACTCACAATCTTTAAATCTCAGCCACGGCGGTCCATTCCACCATAATTGGCACGATGCTAATTTAGTAACACTGATACCCCGACTTAGAAGATCGGCAGGATTATCCTCAGATGCTATATGTCGTCATTGTTTCCTATCGCATAGCTCCAAAATTTTGCTTATGCGGTTGGCAAGGAAAACCTTCCACCTCGCAGCATCTCCTTGGATCCAGCTCAAAACGATCATCGAATCTGACCAAAAAACAGTCTCTGCAAAATCAATATGAATAGTTAAGTGATCCTTTAAATACTTAAATATTTTCGCAGCAATGACTGCTGCACACAATTCCGCTCTTGGAATTGTAAGCTGCGGCTTGATAGGCGTTCTCTCCTATCGGAATTCGTAAGAAAGCCGCCGCACCGTACGCGTATCCTGACGCGTCGCAGAACATGTGTAACTGTGGAGTTCCCTTTGACATTCCCCAAGCAATGTAGCGCGGTATATGAATCTTAGACAAGTTTGGTAGCTCTTGAATGAATTTCTGCCATTCTTTTTGAAGTTCCAATGGTACGTGGTCGTCCCAACTAAGTTTTGTCTTCCACAGAGCTTGCACCATTCTCTTTCCAACAACGGTGATTGGGCTCAACCATCCCATTGGGTCGAATAACCTCGCAATCGTCGAAAGCATCTTTCTCTTCGTTGGTGTACCTGTTGGGAGATCAAAATTAATTTGAAATCGAAACTCATCTTCATTGGGTTTCCAATATAATCCTAACGCTCTAATCGTCTCGTCACCTTGAAAGTTTAGAGGCTCTTTGGTTTCCCGATGTTCTAGAGGTATTCCTTCCAACAGTTGAGGACAGTTGCTGGCCCATTTTCGCAACTCAAAAGATCCCCTTCTCATCATTCCTCTAACTTGAGCTTGCAGTTCCTTTGCATCGGAAATACTATTTGCTCCAGATAAAACGTTGTCCACATACATCTGACGTTTAAGTACATTGGCTGCCAGCGGGTAGTTATGCTCTTCATCTTCGGCTAACTGCTCCATAAGTCTAATGGCCAGATACGGAGCACAGCTCGTGCCAAACATGACCGTGCAGCAGGCATATTCCTCTACCTGGACAGTGTTGTCCGTTTTCCACAAAATTCTTTGAAAAATTCTTCTTATGTATATTAATACATCTATACATTTTTTCCACGTCCGCAAGGAATGCAAATCTTATTACTCTCCAGTTGATCAGTATTGCTGGAAGCTCCATGTGCAATTTGGGCCCTATTGCTAAGATTTCATTCAACGATTTCCCATTGCTCGTCTTCATCGATCCGTCAAAGACGACGCGCACCTTGGTAGTCGTTGACGATTCCTTGATTACTGGGTGGTGAGGTAAATAACAATGTGTGGCTCCCCCCGGGTAGCCTGTTTCTTCCGTTTGCCCAACTTGTGTAACAACCTTTTCCATTTGTCCCAACTCCAAGTATTCCTTTATGGTTTTGGAATACACCTCCTTCAGGTTGGCATCGTTGCGTAAACGCTTGTCCAAATGGCACAACCGTTTCAAAGCATCTTGACGCGACGACCCAATGACTAACTGGGGATCCAAAGTGGATAGAAATGGCAACCGCACTTGATATTTCCCTGAAGGTAACCGCACATGTGTATTAACAAAATGTTCCTCACACCACAAATCTTCCTTCGACAAAACTTCTGCTGCCTCCTTCTAATTCCGCAGATGATTCGTCCTTGATTACGGTCACCGTATGCACCGAGACCTTTGTGATGGGTTCCTTAACTTTTCCTGATATAATAAATCCAAGTCGTGTGCTTTGAGCAATAGGCCAGCCATCCGGTCCACGATGTATTTCACTTAGCATCAATTCATCATAGATATCACTCCCCAACAATATGTCCACACCTTGTGGAACAAAATAATTAGGATCAGCCAGGCAAAACTGTTCAAATTGAGACCATTTTTCCACAGATAAGATTACCTTTGGTAACACATACGCAGTCACACTATACCTTGCCTGTGTCTCAAACCTTGATCCAAAACATAAAAGAACGGAAGAAGACGCTTCGGTAACTTGGGCGTTGGCCAGTCCATTAACCTTAATGTATGCCTTTTGACGAGTTAGTCCCAACTTCTGAACTACGTTTTCCGATACAAACGAAGCTTACGATCCTTGGTCAAGAAATGCTCGGGACTGTAGTGTAAACCCTTCTGCTGACTGCACTTCATAACTAGTCCCAGTTGTACTCGAAGTCCCGCTAATTGCGTTGGAAGTAACTTGTTGCACCTGCTCATTTGGCTCTTTAGTTAGCCGAACCCGATCCAAATGTATGAGCGTGTGATGCCGATCTGCGCATATCGAACAATTGTTTTTAAGTTTGCACCTTCGTGAGTTATGGTTATTCCCCAAACAGTTGAAGCACAAACTTTGCTTCATAACAGCTTCCCTCCGTGCTGTTAGATGCATGCTTTCGAAAACCTTGCAATCTTGGACGGAATGACCGTTCTTGCAACATATGGCACATTTCTGCTCCGATCGGGCGACAAAGGAAGATTTCACATCTCGGCGCTTCTCAGATGATCCCGATGCTCCCTTTCGATCCTTGTTAGACAATATTGTCCTCTCGCCACTGGCGGACGTAAGCATAGTCCTGCATTGTCCATCGAAATGCGCGGATAATTCTTCGAATGTTGGTAACTCCTGCGAAGTAGCCAGGGATTTTTCCCAGTCCAACCGCAGCTCCGCAGGTAGTTTCTTTGTCACCATGTAAACTATGACATGACTTTGATCGAAAAGGTTAACGCCAACCTTTCCCAATGATTTAATACAAGAACGACAAGTTTGTAAAAACCCCTTAAGCGAAACAGGGTCATCGCTCTGCACCATGGGCTGTTGTTCTAGTACCTGCATATAATGTTGAAACAGAACACGCTTATTATCATATAAGTTTAATAACATTTGCCAAGCTACATGATAATTTGTTTCGATCAGTGTTAGATGTTGGATATCTTTGATTGCTTCCCCTGACAAAGAATCTTTGAGGTAATGGAATCGATGCAGATCAGTGAGTCTAGGGCTATTATGAACTCGCGCTTCAAATATTTCCTTAAATGCCGGCCAATCTACAAATTCACCGCTAAATATAGGCAATTTAACCGTGGGAAGTTTAACCTCATCGATCGTGGTTTGGTGTGGTGCTATAAACCGTGACGGTGGCGCGTTGCGATTCCCATCCTGAAAATCAAGATTGTTAATTTCTGTTGATGCCAAAAGTCGATCCTTAGTCTCATTTAGGTCAGTTCTAATCTGCGCCACACTATCAATATACGCTTCTTGGAACTTTCCTTCAAGATCTGCCTCCATATAATCGTTCCGAACCAATTCGTCATCCGAACGCACCAATTTTCGATGGTTCTCTCGGAACTCCATGCGGATATTGGCCAGAGATTCTAATCTAGTCTCCATATGCGCTTCCGAATTATTAGTGCCAGCTTTCCGAAAGTTCTCTAACATGCGGCGTACAGAACCTTGACCCTCTTTCTCACAACAAAACACAGTGCACTAACCTTCTACAATAACCTCTTCGCGCTCCAGCGTAGTCCAAGTAGTGACCCCCAGATAATCCACTCAGTCCAAGAGAAGTCTTCCCGGGTTTCGGCACCAAAATGTGTTGGCTATGGCTGCGTACCGACGGAGCCCCAATCTTCAGCAAAAAACGCGTTTAAAGTTTTGAGAAGCTCTCGCCGTCGCCTGACGCTCCCACCATTAATCGGCTATATCTTCAAAAGGTTTTGAAATTTTCAGTTGAAATTTTAAAGGAACATTCTTGAATAGGTATAGGTTCGAATTAAATAAAAAAAATTGATTTTTAGAAACCGAGAATGGGGGGATCCCCCTAAGGGGATAATTACATTAATTATTTTCAACCTTATTATACCCGTTACTCGTAGAGTAAAAGGGTATATTGTATTCGTGCAAAAGTATGTAACAGCTAGAAGGAAGCGTTTCCGACCCTATAAAGTATATATATTCTTGATCAGGGTCACTAGCCGAGTCGATATAGCCATGTCCGTCTGTCCGTCTGTCTGTCCGTATGAACGCTGAGATCTCGGAAACTATAAAGCTAGAAGATTGGAATTTTGCATGCAGATTCTAGGAGTTCCTACGCAGCGCAAGTTTGTTTCAAAAAGGTGCCACGCCCCCTTTAACGCCCACAATCGCTTATATACGATTTTAAAAATTTAAATATTTCGGAAAAGTAAAAATGCAGTTTTATTATGTTTATCAATACCTATCGAAATTTTGAAGAAATTTTTCAAATCGGACCATTCGTTAAAAAGTTATGAGTGATCAAAGTTTCTATCTCCATCTCCCTCGCACTCCCTTTACCTGAGTAACGGGTATCTGATAGTCGGGGCACCCGACTATAGCGTTCTCTCAAACACAAACTTTTTCGATTTCGTCGGTTGTATCGGGTTTTTGGCCCCACTAATTTTTTTTTCACTGTAAAACATTTTGAGTTTTTATTTTAAAGCTTCGTTTTAGAATTTTAGTCGAGTGGCCCCAAGTTGGGCGCCAATTAACTTTCTCGTTAGTAAATTTATTAAAAAAAATTTATTTGTTAACTTCACTTATTAACTTTTACATAGTGAGAACAGCGCCTAATTTAGTATATCGTCATCAGCCCTAGAAAAGTATCGATAAGTCCCTTTTGGTAGTATTACCAGACTTATAATTATAACCAGTCGAAATAGGTTAAGTTACAATTTAATATGTAATATATATTCAACCTAATTATCCCTAAATAAACTTACACCACTCGAAAAGCTACCCTTTACAGTCCAGAAGTGGGATTAGTGTGGTTGGATATGTGTGAAGCGGAGGAGTTGTGCCAAAAACTCTAAGAAAAGCAGCGAGAATCGTCGGCGTGGAAAGTTTGCAATGGGATATGTTCCCAAAGGTCTATGTGACAACGGAAATTGCAGATTACGGATGTGTTCCAGTTCTACGTGGCAGGCGGTTTCAAGCGAAACAGATCGGGAGTCTTAGTGAACCCGTGGACTCAAGCAAAGGAGTAAGATCAGGATTCTTAGTGAGCCTGTGACCAGAAGTCTCAAGAGCAGCAGAAGTCTCAAGATTCCTGCTAAGATCTAGAAACGCGTCAGTTTCGGGCACGAGAGCCGAATTGGTTCAAAGATTAATAGAATTTGAACAATCAGAGGACGTCGAGCTGCCAGCATCAGTGGGGTTCACCATGCAGCAAGGATAAGCGATGTCAGCTCAGTCAGCGGCAATTTCTTAATTGCAAAACGAAATGAAGGAACCACGATCACGCCACAGAAAATACCAAAAGGAAGCCACCACGACGAAATCCCACAGGAAAGGTTTTCTAGCAAAGAGAGCAACGGCCACACTGTGATGAGAGACTTGAAGCGGGAACGACGAGGGTGAGGTTAAAAATTGTGGCGCACGAGAAGATTGGAACCCAAGAAAACGCAAGTCCTCGAGGCACGTGGCGAAGGAGAAAAGAGAACGCAGAGCGAAAACACAAGGACACTGGCTTCGGCAAGCAGGGTGAGCATAATGAGTGCGACAGGGGCAGACAGGGCTTAGAAAAGAACCCCATTGAAATAAAACTAGAGTAACTCAAAATCAAATCGCTAAAATGCTTTGTGCAGCCTGTGTTACCTCCGATTATGCCGACTGCGAGTATTCCGGGCATTTTCGTAGAGGTTTTTCTCAGCAGGGTTAGCTGCGACAGTGCCGTCTGCGACAGTGCCGTCTGTGAGTATTCCGGACCTGTTCGCAATAATTAGGGCCACCAGTGTTACCTACGATTATGCCGTCTGCGAGTATTCCGGTCATTTTTGTAGAGGTTTTTCTCATCAGGGTTAGCTGCGACAGTGCCGTCTGCGAGTATTCCGGGCCTGTTCGCAATAATTAGGGCCACCAGTGTTACCTCCGATTATGCCGTCTGCGAGTATTCCGGGCATTTTCGTAGAGGTTTTTCTCAGCAGGGTTAGCTGCGACAGTGCCGTCTGTGAGTATTCCGGGCCTGTTCGCAATAATTAGGGCCACCAGTGTTACCTCCGATTATGCCGTCTGCGAGTATTCCGGGCATTTTCGTAGAGGTTTTTGCTCAGCAGGATTAGCTGCGACAGTGCCGTCTCCGAGTATTCCGGGCCTGTTCGCAATAGTTTGTGCCACTAGTGTTAGCTACAACTACGCTGTCTATATCTCCCCAGGCATTTTTAGAGAGTTTTCACTGTAGTGTCAACCGCTATGTGGCCGCCGGTGCATGTCCAGGCCGGTCGACAGCGATTTGTACACGACTCGGTGGCCCGAGTAAAAATTTACCAAAGAAAACATAGTGATACCCGCCCCTCAACTGTCTCAAAGATAACAAATTTTAACTGATGTGGATCCTGGGCGGACTGAGACGCCGACCTCAGCTAAAAGCATCCTTACAGATTGGCGCCCGAGCAGGGACGCGTTGAGGAAAATTCGGGGAAAATTCCAACCATCGTGGCCTAAAGAACCACTAGATCATTTTCTTTTCCACCATAGGGTGTCTGAAAGTTTTGTCAAGGGGTCATTGGGAAGCTGAAAAATTTGTAAGAACGGCAGAGAAGTAAATATATATTAATGAATACACTGAGAGAAATTTTATTGAACAAAAAATGTAACATTCGTGTCGAAGATACCCCTAACTAACCTCGGAGATCGCACGCTCGTAATATACCCATAGGACGACCCGAACAAAGCCGACGAGGGCAACGTGATCGCTCCGCCATCGGGTATATAACAGCGGGACTCATCGTCATAAAGACAGTCGGTCGTGAGAACTCAAGCAGGCAACATCGTTCAAAACGAACAAGATTTTATCGTCGTCAAGTGTACAAATCAAACGAGTAGTGTACCAACCCCGTCAATTAAAATCGTGAACCACGTGCAACGCGCAGATAAAGCCCAATTAACTTGACATTCGCTGCAGGGATTCTGAACAATAATCAGCGTCGTAGACCGTGACCATCGAAACAATTTCAAAAGAATTCGTAGTACCCCCGAGAACCTAAACCAAGAACGTCGCGTGACAAGAGTTCCGTGTAGACCCTTACGTAATGGGAGTCAAGTGGATCTCGTATCGTCGAAAACAGGAACTCGAGACCTTGACCGCCGCGTTCGGGTTAAATAGCAGTGGAACTGTCAAAGAGTTGTGCCAACGACTCGCCGAGTTTTCGAGGCGGGAGGATCTGTCACCGGAAACACAGACAAAGTTGGCAAAAATGGAAACGGTGTACGGGAACGCCGTTACTCCTGACCAAAAGTCGCCCCTTTCTGTCGTGGTCGCCCACCCGAACGAAAAAGGACCTGGCGGCTGTAGGAGCAACTCTCTCCAGTTACCACGGACCACTTCTGCCCCTAATTTAACCACGCTATTACAGACCGACGAACGTCGTGGGGCACAGGCGCGACCTGAGGTCACTTCCTGCGCCACATTGGTGGACAAAATGGCCCGATGGGGGCTTACTTTTGACGTGTCCGGCGACCCACTACGATTTATGGAACATATCGAAAAAAAAGGGCAGCCCAAGCGATGCCGGTGCTACTAGGCGGAAGGACGGAGAGCTGGTTTCGTACGAGCAGACTGCAAGCCACAACATGGGAAACTTTTAAAAAGGAGTTTCTAGAGTTTTTCTTACCGCCGCGATACTTCCAAAGCCTGGAAGTCCAAATCCGGACACATACGCAGCGACCAGGTGAGCTGTTCAAATTCTATTTGATCGATCTCCGCATACTCATGCAGCGGGCAGGATACACCATGGCGCAAGAACTTGAACGCGTGTACGAAAATATGTTGCCTGAGTACTAACTGCACACTCGGCGTCAGGATTTTCGAACATTAACTGACACAGCTCGTAGTCAAATTCGAGGTCATAAGGAGCCGAGGAGAGGGGAATCAAAAAAGTCTTCAGGAGCACAACGAGAAACTTAAGGTGCCCCGATGGGTGCGCGTGTGCACTCGAACTGGGAAGGGTCAACAGGGATAGGTACCGAAATACAACATGGACCATCATGCCGGAATCGGAGGCTCCGATCAACGTGCATAACGCCTGCAGGAACTGCGGGGAAAACGGGCATTTCCAACGGAAGTGCCGACAACCGCAAATTTTATCCTTCTGGGACTGTGGCAGACGTGGCCTTCGCACCGTGGAATGTTGCCGGAGATCGGGAAACGGCTACGGGCCTCGAGCATGCGGGGATCGCCCGAGGAACCCGAGAGACTTCCCAAACCAGTAAGTCAAGCTTTAAAGTTAGAGCAGGGCAGGATCCTGGCACAGGTCCGCATCAAAGGGAAACCGTTTAAGGCCACCATAAATACGGGAGCCACACGGAGCTTCATTAGCGAACAACGAGCAGCGGAGATCGGTCGTGGAAGAGATTGGCGAGAGATTCGCACCCGGATCCGATTGGCCGATGGATCCCACCGTGACCTTAAGAGGGGCCTGGTAGTAACCATCCACCTGGGTCTCCAACAAGTAAAGT